ATCGGCTGAAGCCGCCATGTTCTTTAGACTGAACTGTCGTTGCGTCACACCTCAACCCGCCTCAAAGCCAACGCTGATTGGACGTTCGTTTGGTGAACGGCTCCAAATTTTCTTTAACGGAGAGTCTCCAGACTGATCTGCGAGTGAAACCTTGAAAGCTCGCGAGATCAGGATGGTCTCACAAGGCTACAGTGACCCAGACGGGGGCTTAAACTCAGAACCTCTGGGATCTAAGTGCAATGCCCTAACCACTAGGCCACCACTCCCCCAGTAACCTAGATCGACCCAAACACAATCATTCTTGAAACAAGATAAAAATGAGCTCTACTGTGAAAGCAATGAAAAACTAAGCCCCAAAACTGGAAACAGTAAAAACTTACAGGTGGTTGTTTTTGTTTGTTTTTTTTTAAGAGCAGATGGCTTGTTCCCCTTAACAGGTTAAGGATTTTGTTGATGGGGTTGCTAGTTCCCTTCGTACTGCCTTAGAAGAGGCCGCCCCTTTAAAAAAGAAAAACTTTCAAAATAGAAAGTTGGCTCCCTGGTTTATTGCAGAGCGGCACACTGAAGCAAAATGCAAAGAAACTGGAGAGAAAATGGCGCTCTGCATGCCTATGGGAATCCTACCTAGTCTGGAAAAATAGTTTACTGTTGTATAAGAGGACCCTTCGTAAAGCAAGAGGCCCATAATAAATAAATTAATAAGGACAATAAGAATAATCCTAGATATCTTTTTACTATCGAGTCAATAAGTCGAAGCAATCAACTGGTTTTCCTTGTTGTGAATTGGATAAAAGAGGTTTGGATAAAAAAATATATAGTTTTGAGTTTTAATTTTCTACTGAACAGGATCACAACAATTAATGACTTTCACACGGCGGTTAGACGTCCACTGTTCTCTGAGAACATGATTAGAAGAATCCCTTCATTTCAGGGGCCCAAAAGTTATTGGAAAAATTAGATAATTGTAAATAAAATGTTTAATTTTATTTTAAAAACCCTTTGTTTGCAACGAGTGCTTGAATTCTTGAGCTAAGGGTCGTCACCAGATGCTGCGTTTAATCCTTCTTAAAGACTTTACTGCAGCGGTTTTAACTCACTTTTTGTTTTCGAGCCTTTTTATCTGAAGTTAAACAAGTGAAATCCATGTTTAGTTGGTGTGAGATCAGGTGACTGACTCAGCCATTTAAGAATATTCCACTTCTTTGCCTTAATTAACTCCTGGGTTGCTTTTCGTTTCTGTTTGGGATCTGTCTGTCTGTCTGTCTGTCTGTCTGTCTGTCTGTCTGTCTGCAGTAAATATGTGAAAAAAATGAGTTTTAGGTGCAGCCTATCACCTGCTCAACATTTTAAAGTCCTCTGTTTGAAGGGTTGTATACAATGCAATGCAAACTATTTTCCTGTGTCCTGATGATTTCTTTTGGCCTTTCAATTAGGCCTGAATAAAGTTTTAACTGTTTATTAATTATATCAACAGTCCTGATGTTTCTCCACTGTGCAACACTGCAAAAAATTAATTTTACATGAAATAAGTGTATTTTCCCTTGATTTGAGCAGGTAGCTAATAACATTTTTCAATGAATTAAGATGATTTACGCTCAAAATAAACAAAACAAATCAACCCCATTATCTTATTTCAAGCCCATAATATATAATCATCTTACTTTAAGGGCCGAATTATTTATTCCATTGGTTGATCATCTTCTCTAACTGCTTAGAAGAACGGAAAATGCAGTTTTCAGGAAAATTTGACTGTTTTTTGCAGTGTTACAATCCCAACCTCTGATTTGCTAACTGCTGCCATTTCCAATTAAGAGGCAAAGAATTTGAGACAAATCTGATGGAAAGTGACATCAAAGCCACATCTAATCCGGATTGGTCGTTCACACATTCAAAAGATCAGATAAGAGCCGGATTCAGAACCACATATGAACGTGGCTCAAATGTGATGTTAAAAAGTCAGATGGGGGTCATATCAGGGTGTCTAAACTGCTCGTTTGATCCCCTACACTGCAAAAACGATCTAAAAATGAGTAAGAATGTCTTAAATTAATTGATTTACCCTTAATTTGAGCAGGTAAATACGTTGGTTTACCGATGGAAATAGTAATTTTACTCTTAGAATAAGATAATTAGATATTATGCACTTGAAATAAGAAAATGCAAATGTTTTTTTCTTGTTTTAAATGTAAATTGTCTTGTTCCATTGGCAAAGTGTTTCATTTAACTCCTTAATACTTATAAAAAAAAAAAAAAACACGACATATTGAGATTTTTTTTTTTTGCAGTGTAAAAATCAGACTGGTGTCACATTTCCCTGCAGTGTGAACAAGGCCTTAGTCCCTCTAAAATCAGGGTGGCAAATGTCAACACTGCAAAAATGATCTAGAAATAAGTAAACATTTCTTAATTTAAGTGTATTTACCCTTGATTTGAATAGGTACATTTGATAATATGCCAATGGAATGAGTATTTTTACCCTTAAAATAAGATAATTAGATTAAATGCACTTGAAATAAGAAGATGCAATTGTGTTTTCTTATTTTAAATCTAAATATGTCTTGTTTCATTGGCAAAATGTCTCTTTAATCTCCTCAATTTAAGAAGAAATGCACTTATTTTAAGAAAAAAATGACTTATCTAGATGTTGATTTTTTCCAGTGAAGAAGCTGAAACCTTTACAGCCCTTTATCCGATTTAATGTAGATACACTTAAATAAAAGCTGGAAGTCTGGACGTTATGCTATTGTTTAATATATACTTGAATATGTTTCAGGAAACAGGTAAAAAAAAACAGTCAAATATTTATGGACCTAACTGTATGCCGACATCTGAACATCACCTTCCCTCGTTTCTCATGGTAAGAACCCGAGCGCCTCTCTTGTGACACTGGAAGTTTAAAAAACCCATGAGATGAGTGGCAGGAAATGTGATGAACTCGTGTGTCAACAAAGACACATGTCATGAGCTGGGAACTTCCTCTCAGCGGTCGGTCCTGAAGTCCCCCGAACATCTCGGTGTTTTTTTGTTTTTTTTGTATTCTTTCATTTAGCTCTGTCCTCCCAAGCTGTTTCAAACTGCTGCATTTGATCCGTTTTGATGGAACACGCCTCTGATAGGCTGCTTATCTTCATGTTTTCTCCATCCGACTGAAAATTAAAGCCTTTATCAGGGTTTCCCTTTCAGTTTTGCACACAGTTTGATAGATGATTCATCTGTCACCCTGGAAACACTCCGGTGTACTAAACCGACTAAACAGAGATCTTTTCTTATATAACTTTACTCTTTTTTCATTAAAAAGCTTTAAATCTGCCACTTCTTTGCTTTTGCTTTTTACCCAATGCAGGAATTTCAAATTTTTTTATTATAACTTTTGTGATTTCTACTAATCCTTGTATTTTTTTGTCATTTTAATCAATTAATTTTATTTGTAATTTTTACTCCTTTTATCTAATAGATTTTTATATAAAGTTTCCTTTGCTCATGCAGAATAAAATGAAATAAGCCTATATTTGTTAAATAAATAGTATATTCTATATTGCCAGAGAAGTTGACACCTCCCAGTTAGAATGGTTGAGCAAATTGAAAATACGAGGTTGCTGAGGAGAAAGAGGAAGGTCAGTCTGATGGGAGGGGAGTTGACAGATAGATGCTTTGTCCTTTGTCTCGTTGTGGCATATGAAGTAGCTCCTGCAGAGAAGACACCATGACGACTGGTGAGTATTTATTTAAGCTTAAAATCGATAGAATATTTAAGGGTGAATCTGTTGTTTGGCCTAATTTTTCTATTTTTCCAGATCAAAACATTTCTTCCTTCATCTCTGATGACTTCAGCGAAATCTATGACCAACTGAACTTCTCGTATAACTACACGGAGTATAATTTAAACCCGTCCACACAACCCTGCGATGTCTTCATGTTCCCAAACGCTGTGCTGCTGGTTGTCTGCTTGTTTTACATCTTCATCTTCCTGTTGGCCATTCCTGGGAATCTGGTGGTGGGTTTTGTTATCGGCCAGACTAAGCAGCCGCTGAGCCCCTCCGACCTCTACCTGTTCCACCTGGCATTAGCAGACCTCTTGCTGGCCATCACCCTTCCCTTTTGGGCCACCTCCGTCACCCAGGGCTGGATTTTTGGAGATGCCATGTGTAAAATTGTCACCATCCTGCAGGAGCTGAGTTTCTACTCCAGCATTCTGTTCCTGACCTTCATCAGCGTGGACCGGTACATGGTGATAGTGAGGGCCATGGAAGCCCGCAGGGCCAACCGGCAGGTGTTCAGCTGGGTTGTCTGCGCCGCGGTGTGGCTGTTCGGGGGGTTGCTGTCCCTGCCGGGTTTCTTCAGCTCTTCTTCCAAGTCTCAAAATTCCACTTACATGATATGTGCTGTGCAGTACGACCCTAAAAGTGCTGATGAGTGGAGGTTGGCCACCAGGGTTCTCCGCCACGCTCTGGGTTTCATCATCCCCCTGGCAGTCATGCTGCCTTGTTACGGAGTCACCATCCAGCGTCTCCTTCACATCCGGGGGGGCTTCCAGCGACAGCGAGCGATGAGAGTGATCGTGTGCGTGGTTGTCGCTTTCCTGCTTTGCTGGACGCCGTACCACATCGCCGTGATGGCAGACACCTTTTTCAGGCTGAAGATAGTGGACTACGGGTGCCGGGAGAGGACGGCGGTGGATAAGGCCATGTTTGCCACGCAGAGCATGGGGCTGCTGCACAGCTGCGTGAACCCCATACTCTATGCATTTGTGGGAGAGAAGTTCAGGAAGAAAATGAAGCAAAAAATGATAAAGATGGGCCTCCTAAAGAAAATGTCCGTCTCCAGAAGCAGCAGGTCCTCAGTTTCATCAGAAATTACATCCACAGTCATGTGAAACGTTTCTTTAACTTGAGTTGTTTGGTGGACTTTCAAAGAAAAGTATATTTTTTTACTTTTAGCCTTAAATACTCCTTGAACTTTTAAATATATTTTTCTTTTTTATTAATCTTGTCTTTCAACTTATTTATGTTGGTTTGAATGTTTTTTTTTTTGCACCAGGGAAGAGACTTGCTTAAGCTGAAGACATCCACGGTACCTTTTTTTTTTATTTAGCAGAAAGAGTAAAAACGGATCTGTCAAAATATTTCAATCAATTCAAAACATTTCAGTATCTCAATAAGGAAAATGCAAAAACAAAAAAATGCAAAAAAATAAATAATAAATAATAAATAAAACCAGCCATCAGATGCAGAATAAGGTAGAATGTATGGTAGATGGTGAGATAGAAAGTGGTGTAATATGGCATCAGCAGAAATGATTGTATAGACTTAAAAACATTCTTATGTTGTTATTATGAGAGATCTTGAGTTTAAACCAGCTTGTTGTATCACACGTGTCCTCATTAAAGTTATAAACAAGAATTCACCTTCTCCTCATGTGATTAACAGAAAAAACCACGAGTCACATAACTTATCAGCTGAGGAAACATCTTTCTTAATGGTCCGCCTGTGGGCCTAAAGGAGGAAGCCAAAAAACAGAAGTTTGAAATATTGCTTGATGAAAATTACGGCACATTTTGACGTCTACGGAGAGAATTTTGTTCCATTATTGTTGCAAGCAAAGAACATGTTTTGTAAAAGGAAATTTGACGAAAATAAAAAATAAAAAATACAATCTAGAGATGAACTTTGAAAAGCTTCTTAATAAAAAAGGTTTTGATATTTTCTTAACTAATATTTTTTTCTTTCTTTTTTAAAAAAAAAGGTTTGATAATATCACATTGAGTTTTATAAAATGCATTCTTTTAAAATAGTATTTAAGAGATCATAGGTTTATGAATATTGGTCTTAATGGACATTAGCAACATTTGTTTTTATCAGATTTGAAGAGAATGCACACTGTAAAACTCAATCTGAAAAAAACTTTTAAAAATATAAAATAAAATATAAAAAAAAAAATTAAAAAAGGGAAAATCTGAGAAAACAGCGAAGTTGCTTTACAATTATTTTTTAGTATGAAGTTTCACAAGTTGATCACATTTTTTTTCTTCAAATTTCTATTTACAAGATGTTTTTTTTTTGCTGGCAACAATAATGGTACAAAATTCTTTCCAAAGTCTTCAGCGGGCGACTTTCTGGGGCGTCACGAAATGCGGGCTTTCTAAGTCATTATGATGTGAATATATGGGGGTATGTGGGGTATATAATAATTAAATGTTCCTTTCAATAATTAAAAATCTATTTGAAATAATGTATAAAACTAATTAATATAGTGAAAGTAATGAATAGACTGGCTTGGACTGACATAATAACCTGTCTTTAAGGGGGTCCTGAGACTTGCATTGTTATTTTTGAAGTCACAGCTTGCTCTAAAAAGCCAAAATTGTCGAATTACACCTCATTTGAATATTTAAAAAACCCCGACAGCTAATCAGAAGTTTTATATAAAAGAAGAAATGCTTTCAAGAAATGAAAATTGTTCTAAACATTTATCATAAATTAAAAGAATAATGGGTTTTATCACCACCATTTAAAAATGTGCTAAATACAGGGCCTCAAAGGAATTTTTGTTTACAATTCAGCAGACAGAATGTTCAAACCTTTTTCTTGCATGTGTGCCTTCATCAATATGCAGATCATATTCCAATGACCAAAGAAAGAAATGGGTAAAAGCAATTTCCAAAATCTTAAAGTAGAAAATAGAGCATTAGGGAAAAAAAAGCTTAACTTTAACTGTAAATACTTTATCTGTAATTTTGTTCTTGACCTGTAGAACACGGTTTTTACCTGTTAAAAGGTTATACTACCAAGCATAAAAGGATTAAAACATTATTGAAGGATTTACTTTTAGATTTCAAACAGATTAATATAACCACAGCTGCAAATTAAATTTCACATTGAGAGGATTTCCTGAAGCAACGGATTCTGAGATCAGTATTGAGATGATAAACTAAAGTTAAAATTTAGTTTAATTCCTATCTGTACACGTTTTTCTAAACTTTTATTTAACAATAAAAATTACTTCATTTGTGAAATTTTGTATTTTTATATATAAAATGTCCATTTAAAAAGACTTTTATGTCAATTACAAGAAATTACGATCCAACATAAAAGGAGACTGTTTTACTGCAAATATTTCTGCTGGTTGATTCCGACCCAAAACACCCAGATAATGTTGCTTACCTATTTGTTTTGTCGTTACGCCATTTAATCTGACAGCAGCGATGAATTTTCCTCGAGACAACTGCTGGACATTCTTTCATATTAAGATCGTTCTCATTTAATACACTTTCTACCACATTTTGATGCTTCAAAATGAACTTCAGCTAGATGTTTTCACCAAATCTATAGAGCTATGTTTACTGACCTGCTAACATATAATTTGCTGATTCATTATTTGTTCAAGCAAACAAATGAATAGCTATACATTATAGAGTGGCCAGTAAGTATACAATTTAAAATTAACAGTCACTGGCTTTTTCTGAAAAAAAAAAAAAAAAAATGGAGGGAAATTTGTTTGATTATTGTTGCAAGAACTTATGTAAATTTAAATTTGAAAAAATTTAATTTGGGAAAGAAAATGTCTTAATGAAAAAGTTTTAAGAGTTCCTTCGTTGTTTTCTCAGATGTATTTTTCTGATGATTTTATTTTCTTTCTTTTTTATATATAGATTTTTTTTCCAGTTCAGAATTTTCTAACTCCTTTTTTTCCAGATTTTATTTTTCAAACTGCATTCTTTTTGGATTATTCTCTCCAGATTCCATTCTCTTTGTTTGCTTTCCTCTGGAGTGATGAATGAAGACACATTTCTTTTGGTCTGTATGCATGTTAGCAACAACATTTCTATTATTTAAGATTTAGTGTTTGAATTGGGCTTCAAGTGAAGACAACATGATCTGTAAAATATAGTTTGAAAAGTATGTATTTCGAAAAATAAAATGTGAAAACAAGTAATTAGAAAATATAAATTCTGAAGCAATAAAATAAAAAAAATACTCAAAACTTTTTTCTTTTAAGTTTTTCAAAGCTTTGTTTCTGGATTGCAATTTTTTTTATTTTCTATTTGCAACACGTGTTCTTCGCTTCTCTTGCAACAATACCAGAACAAAATTTAACCTTAAAAGGAAAAAGACCAACTTTAAACTATAAAAGCAGGCAAAGAAAAATAGATTCATGTTATTAAAAGCTTCAAATCCTATATGCATGTAAAAATAATTACACCTCGATTTTACACACAATCATTGTGTTTAACAAATTACACAAAAACCCTGAATGTTGGAACTGTAACTAATATACAGTTGTATGTTTACACTATCACTGCTGCTTACCTTTGTCACGGCTGCACTTAAAAAAAAAAAATGTCTTGGGAGCTATACTGAACGAAACTTCTTTTTTTATACACTCTATGCGTACAAAATTACAAAGTATGTCTATGTTATGCAAAAATACAACCTTTTAAATTTAGAATTGTGTTAATTGTTCCCAATGAAACTTAAACGTAACACAACAAAGAGGTCAACATTTACCTCAATTAAATACCACGTACTCTGCACCCTTTCCAGCACGCCAAGTGTTGCACCATGTTCTACTGACCTCACGTTGGCTAAAAATGTTAAGGGGGCGGATGCCTTGCTTTGAGTGGGCAGACAGACCAAGCAGCTGTTGCTGTGTGTGGTTCGGAGGGCTCTGACCATCATTTCCTCGTCCAGGCTGACTGGCAAAGGTAGGGGGAAATCATGAGTTGGCTGATCTAACTTATGGGACAAGGAACCGTAAGGGGAGGGGGGGGGTTAGAGTGTAACTTATCTGGTTGAACCTGGTCCCGGGATGATCTTTGGATGAAGCCAAGCAAGAACCGATCTCAAGCAATCTCCAATGAAGACTCGTTCACCTTTATGAAGAAGTTACACTCTCCTGGGAAGAGGTCAAATCAAGAGTAAGACACGATTAGGATAAAACCAAGCTGGAGAATCAAAGCTGTCATTTCCAAGAGGAGCCAAAGGAGCTGCTGTTAACGCAACATGATCCGCTGGGTCTTATCCTAAAAATACCTCCGTTCAGGCGAGTGGTCGCTGGTTCTGTGCCGTCTCATTACCTGCTCATCAACAATTCCTTTTTCAGTTAACCAAAAAACGGATAGATTTGATAACTGCACAGATGTTAGCAAGTGTTTTATTTTCTGCACATAGTTAAATGGATGGATAATCTGATTATTTCTGCAACTTACAATGTGACACCTGTTGAAAGACTTACGGGGCCCTGCCAGGAGTTTGGTTCGAATCAACGAAGTGCCATTTTCCCCACAGTTAGGACATACAGGTTGATAATTCTTTGTGCCCTCACTTTTAAGTTCAATCATGAGGAAAGCAGATGTACCAATGACCCTTAAGAAGGGGGCAGATGAAGCAGCAGCACCCCCAAGTCCCATCATCCCACCAAAACGGTCCAAAACGAGCCCGGATCAGATAGTCCCCGGTCATCCCAACCCATCTCCACCTGTTTTCATCCGAAAAATGAGGAATGCCGCCGTGGGGACAGGCTGCGACATTCGACTCAAGGTGACAGTGGCTGGACACCCCCAACCATCCCTGTACTGGTACCACAACGATGAGCTCCTTAACATGGAGAACCAGGAGTACGGAGGCCTTTGGATTAGAGACTGCAAACCCAGTGATGCTGGTCTCTACACCTGCATCGCCAATAACCACCTGGGAGAAGCTCGGACGAGCGCAGTGCTGGCCGTCTTAGATCTGGGAGAAGGTAACGGCTTAATTTATTTTCTCATTCCCTTTGCTTACACAGAAATACCCTTTTATTAATCTCCATCTTATAAAAGATGGATTAAACCTGTTTATTAAATGATAAACAGCTATAACAGCTTTGATCCTATTTACATTCAGGGCTCTAAAGTGTTTCAATTACTGAAAATACCTAACATGTCACAATAACCCAAAGGAATTAATCATTTATCTGTTTTTAAAACCACTTTTTGCCAAGAGAAAATGATCCAAACTAATATCTCACCATGGACACAACAATTTTAGGTTTATTCAACCAAATTGGACTTATAAATGACTTAATATACAGGAAATTTATCCTTTTAGCACAATCTTTACCCAAATCAGAGCAAGTCCATTTATCAGATTTATTATTGCTTATTATATGTTGATTACTGGTTAATTTCTCCCATTTTACTGTAAACTATACATAACATTTCATCTTTTTGTTCAAAATCTGAAGTAAAATACAGGTTTTGCATGTTTTTTTAGTTTAATGTGAATCTTTATGTGAAATTATCATGCCGTGGGAGGTTTGATTTATGGGATATTACTTGGAAATAAATCATTCTTAGGCCACTTATTCATCCAAAGCGAGTCCCTATTCTTCAGCGTCTGACCCAAGGATGCTCTGGAGGCCAAAGCAATGTGCATTCTGCTCAGTAAATCATATTCATTTGCCATGCATCACCTCATTGCATTGATGTAGCAGACTTTAAAGATATTGACATTTTGTAGAAATTTATTTCCCCAGCCAATAGCCTTTTCATATATCAGCGCTCTATATGATTGTTCTGCAGAGTTCAGCCTGAGTTTGCTTCTTTATGTTTGAACTGCTGGTAGCTGTGGACTGCTACAGCTTACAGAGAAGGAGGACAGTGTTCATAGAACCCTAAACTCTCATAGATAAAACATAAACTATTTTTAAAGAAGGAACAATAATAGGCATAGTTTATCAACCAAGCTGTTCCTCAGAAGAAAATCAGAGATTTGTTCTATAACTGAACATAGATGTGAAAGGGTTTTAACTTCCCTTTAACTTAACATTTTGCTTCCAATGATGCAGATTTTCCTGTAACTAGGGCTGCAGCTAACAATTATTTTGCCAGTCGATGAATCTCTAGATTGTTTTTTTTAATTAATAGATAAATAATTGGATAGCCATAGGTTAAAAATATTGTTTATGAAATTAAACCAGGTGAAACTAAAACTTGAAGGGTTCTGGATAAAGCATATGGATAGGCAAAAATATATTTTTTTAATCTTAAATGCAAAATGTTTATATACTGTATATATTTTTTACAATTCTGATAAAAGGACATGTTGCTGTTGGTTGCTCTGACAGCTAAACGCATGTTTAGTCTCTATTCTCAAGTTAACAATGAATTAATCGCTATTTTAGTTGACAATTATTTCGATAATCAATTAATTTATTTCATTGTTTCAGCCCTACCTGTATCCTTTGAGCCTCTCCTTGCTCAAAGTTTAGGGCACAGTTGCTAAACGTCTTTGCAACTCTTCCATTTCTAGTTTGGATTATCAGAAAATGTTAAACATTTTATGCATTTAGTAGAACCTTGAAGTTAGATAACAATCAGAATCACTTAACTTTATACATACTTTAATGTATATACATTAGGGAAAGTAAAATCATAATACAGTATATCGATAATAATATCTATAATTTTTTCTGCTTTATATTAGATTGCATTACACCCATTTTCTGTTGATAGAGATTTTGAGTCCAATTTGAAGCAGTTAACTCTTTTTATAATGACTAACGTAGGTATGAATGATGTCCTGTTTTTCTTGGCATCATATGAACAATTTTCACCACAGTAGAACATAAGTGGATCATGGAAGATGATTTTTGATCCTCTTTCAAAGTTTAAAACGTCCTCAAAGCAGCTTTAGATTGACATATGCCATGAAATATGTACTTATGTATTAAAATGAAATAACTTTAACCTGTTAGTTGGGAATTATTTAGCCCGGGGGGTGGGTGGGGGAATCCAATGTCTGGTCCTTGGTGCAGTAGCAGTTCTTAAATAAATGCTTCAAAATTGGCCCCCAGCAAATCAGTATTCACTCAATTTTTGTCTCGTTTAAGGTATTAGTTTTATTCTCACACATTTACTTCTTTTTAAATTGGAAATATGCACTAAACTGCAAATTTAATTCTCTCTTTTTTTTCTTATTGTTAGAATG